ATAGAAATCGGAGGGAATTGGGGCCCAGGGGGAGGAGGTTCATGGGAATGAAGCAAGTGACCAGAGAAGGAACTCAAGAGTGAAGAGAGATGGGGGCAACAGGAAATGGGAAAAGAAGGCGGGGCTGGGTATCCTGTGGAGTGAACTGAGGCTGGCATCTACCCAGGGCCACTCCTTGGATCCTTAAGCCCTCAGAAGGACCTTTGTCCCACCACACCCTCGCCCTGACAGTCCTGTCTGTGCCTGAGGAAATGTGTCATATGCTCTGACCAGGCCCCTCTGGGAGCCCCAGGCCCCTGCTGGGTCCCATCATCCCTACAGAGAAGCTACTTCATACTAGGTAGGTGTAAGTACCTGGAACTCAAGTCCCTCCGTGCTGAAGGCTGGGAGGGGGCAGCTGAAAAGAGATGTTGCTGCGTGTCCTGCTTCCTGATAGACAAGCCCCATAATGCTTTTCCAAGCCCAGGAAGCACCCAGTTCCAGTAGTCAGAGGAGCCATGGAGGAGAGAACTGGTCAGCAGAAGCAGGAGAGGCCCAGCGTTCGTCTGGAAAAGTTACAGCGCTGGGCGAGGCAGCAGCAGAGTGGACACCTCTTGGTGCTGGCGGTGAGGCTAGGCTGCCCCACCCCAGGCTTCCACATGCCCACTTGTATTCCAGGTCATTTCCACCCACCCTTAGGAAGAACCTCCTATGTGCCACAAACTATGCTAGGCTCGAGGGGAAGGAGGGAGGAGGAAACCCAGAGATGGGAAAGGCAAGACCCTTACTTTCCAGTGGGCAAAGATACAGGTAAGTAATGAAGATAGGACATGAGGAAGAAAACTTAAGTTATACACTCTTCCTTCACTCCCTTGGTTGAATACCCTCCTGCATCATGTATTCCTCCCAATTCCTGATGGATGAAGAAGGAAGGCTTGTGAGGAGGGAAGGGACTCTGAAGGTCTTCCCTCACCTGTCCTGTCCCTGGCCCCCAGGTGAGCCAGCTATGGCTAGCAATTGCTGTGGCGCCCTTTACTGTCTCAGTCGCCTGCCTGAACTCTGCTTGTCACATGGCCACAGCACTGCCCCTTGGGCCTGCAGCCTCGGTGAGACCATCTCAAGGGAGCATGGAAGGAGGTCGGGATGGGGGCACTCCCTAATGGGGCCGGAACTCAACCCTCCCCCTTCTCACCATTCAGGGTCTCCTCACTGGGGCTGTCACCCTTGAGCTGCGCAGAGCTCCCCGCCTCTGGAAGGTGAGAAGGGAAGAGCACAGCAGTTCTTTCCCCCACACAAAGAACACACACACACCCTCAGTCCAGGGAGCAACTGGCTCCCTGGGGGTTGACTAATTCTGTCACCTGTGCTGTCCCAGATGGCTCTAAAGGCCTGAGGGGGGAAAGCAAGGAAGTTAGAAGGCCCGCTGACCCTGTTTGGAGGTAGAGATGGAGGCATTGAGTTTTGACTTCAACTGGCTGAGCCAGTAGGGCGAGGGACTGGGAAGTGAGTTCCCCGAGGCTGCACCAGGCTGAGCTGGCTCACTGGCAGGTTCGGGCCATGATGACCTGCAATACCTTCAGCTTGATCCTGGGCTTCGTGGTGGTGGTGGTCGAGGTGATGAAGACAGCTTTGGCGCCCACCCCAGCTGACCCCTCCCAGGTATGGGTGAATAAAGAAGGTGGGAGGAAGGGGTGGAGCAGAGAGGGCTGAGGGGAGGGTCTTCTGCACTATCCTCAGACCTATCTACTTGCAGTTGCCTGGCTTGCTGGTTTTGGAGCTCAGCATGGAAGCCTTCACCCTAGGAGGAGTGTTGGCTTCAGCATACGCCCTATTCCTATTGAGTCAGAGGAAGCCAGGGTGCTGCCGGAGCCAGAGTCTGCACTACCAGGAGCTGCAGGAGGTACTGCTGCAGGGGAGCCACCGGCTGGGAGGCAGGCACAGGAGTGGCTGTCAGTTCATTTCTTTCACTGGCTCTCAGTGAGACTTGAGGGGAATCAGTGGGCAGATGGGACATATAGGGTCCCTAGGTGGAAAGTGACCAGGGCTCTGGGTTAGAGAGAACTGGGCTGGCCCAAGAACATCAGGAAGTTGCAAACGTTTAGAAAGAGCAGTAGGAACACAAGCAACATGAGAAAATGGAAAGGTGGGGAGTTGCTTCTGTCTGGGGTTTCTCCTGGCTTATCCCTAGTTTGCTTCCCCGAGTCTCCGTCCGGTTTTCAGGGCCTCTCTGCGTTGGAGGAGGAAGCTCCCGTTCTGGAGAATGGTCCCACGATGGCTAGTCCAGCAAACTGAACCAATAAATAAGTGACCCAGCCACGAAGGGACAACTCAGGCGATGCGCCCCTTTTGCTCCCCTTTTGCCCTGAGGGAGTGCTCCCCAAACCCTCCCGAGCCCCATCCGGCCGAGGGCAGAAGCTTGATGGGCTCTAGAGACCTACATTGTGCCCGATCCAGTATCTTTCTACTCAGGGCAAGCCCTTCTCTCTCTTCACTCTAGAAGTTAGCCCTGGTCCAGTCTTCCCCACCTCGCAGCCTGGCAACCCTACCCACCTGCAGGGCGCCAACCTTCAGTGATAGCCACTTCTTTCCTTCCATTTTCACCCTCCTTCCCCACCCCACCCCCTGTACAGCTTCACACCTGCCCCATCGCATTATGCGCTTCCGTCCACCTCTCACAGTCCCATTCACTCCAAGCCCCGGCTCTGCGCACGCCAGCTCTCGGAATTCAACTCCTGGGGGCTTCAGTTGTCCCTTCCATCCGGTTCCTCGTTGACTCCTGCGGAGACTACAAGTCCCAGGATGCCCCGCTGCCCCGTGACCTGCTGGGAAGAGAAAAGGCCTGTCCCTTCGCGGAGGGGGCGCTGTGTGTCGGCTGAGTGACGCGAGGCTCTGGAAGTCGGGGCCTAGCCGAGAATCTCCCCGGGCGCGACCATTGGCCCCGTGTGCGGGGAGGAACCGGGCGGGTCACCCTGCGCGGGGGCGCCTCTGCCCCGACCACCGTAGCCCACGACTAAGGCTGGACCCGCAGCGCTCCCGCGGGCAGCTGTGAAGACGGGCGGGGGTGGGGCGGCCGCCCTCGGCGGAGCTGGCGGTTCCCAATTTCTGTCACCGGGGCCCCTCGCGCTGGTGCCCAGGTCCAAAGTCCTGAGACTTGG